CTCTGAGACCTGAAATGAAAGAATGGAGAAAATATCTGAAAGTGAGTGTGTAGAGCAGTCTGAGCTTTGGGCTCACAGGGATGATTTATCCTCACATTTAACTATTCTTCATATCTATTACTGTAGATATGAAACATGGCTTACATACCTTGCAATATGAAGGCAACCATTGTCATAATTTGGTGTTATATAAATAAAACTGAATATGAGCATCCTCCTTATATCAGTATCTATGCGACAGAAAATAAGGAAATGCATAATAGATCCCTTTACAATTCATAGACTTTTCATTTTACCCTTGAATAAATGTTAAAGTGCATTCAAGCTTCAACTTGAGAGCCATCCGACGTGAGACATTTTATTTGTATCAAGCCATCATCATTTTTAATGAAATTTGACCCAGTTTGTGATTCTGCCCTTCTGCAGATTAAAAAGTACAATCTTTCATTGTGAACAGTAAAAGCAATATCCAAATCACCCAGCTGTCTGCAATACATTCAATAAAATGAGACATTAATGCCAAGAATCACAAGAAGGCCAAGCAGGGCTCCTGAGTTCAAAGCGCTCTGTGAGATCACTGCCATACGGGAAGCGAGCGGTGAGGTGAGCCTTACTCATCACTAGGCGTGTCACTAGCTGTACAGCATCAATATGATTAGACACACAGACGGGGGGAGGGGAGAGGCAAGAGGGAAGGGGGTGGAAATAGGGGAAAGTGAGGCAGAGAGATGACCTAATACCCGTAAAAAGAAATGAAGTCATACTAACCTGACTCATATTCCCAGCTGACACCAGCTCTCCCAATCACAGCATCCCCAGTGTGTTCGTTGACAGAGGTGTGTATGTGTGTGCCGGTCAACAGCTTCATTATGCATGTAAGCTTTTCACAGCAGGTGAGATGACTGTACAATACTTTTGTGATTGATTTGCACTTTTGTGATTGCAGATAGAAATAAAGTCTGCTGTGTACACGGGAAGGCTGAAACACTCGTTGGGTTCTGGACAATTTGTTGGACAAAACAAACACTTTTAGTGAAGCTGTGGAAGGCTAAATGATTAACTGGTAATAAAAATAACTGACATATGAATCAATAATAATTTTGTTGGCTACTTGTGTGTCACACTGCTCACTGAATAAATCCCAGAGCACTGCAAAAAATAAAAAGTAGCACAAAAGAACAAATAAAAACTGCCATTTTAACTTGATCCAATTTAAATGAGAGTGATTTCAAGTTCAAGTCCTGAGCAGCAACCACACAATTTTACAGCTAAATTACCACAAACGTCCAAAGATGCATCACAGACTCATTTTTTAAGTGGGAGGGTCATAATATTATTTTATTCTAAATAAATTAAAGAAACTAAATAAACCAATATTTATGAACACAAAGCTACTTTTTGTAGTTACCCTCTACAAAATGTTCTATTTCTCACCACCAGGTGGCAGCGTGTTAGTAGCAGGTGCCTTCAGAAGTCTGTCTGCGTGCTGCTGTTTAATTGTTGACGTTTCCTTTGAGCTGCCCCAATTTCATCAACATGCTTTTTCTTTTCCCAGGTGTTAAAAAAATAATGTGCTCTTTATGACTGTTTGTGTTTAAAAAAAAGTCTAAACTGACTCACTGCGCCATCTTTTGGTATAAAGTGGTGTTGCAGCAGTAACGCAGATATTTCTGAGGTCGCAGCTGTCGCCTCTGTAAATCGGTTTAGTCAATTTTGAAAGGTTTTAAACTATTTCTCTATAAGGGAATTTTACAGTAATTATCTTCAAAGAACTCAAGCCTCCTCAGAGTTGTTTTGGTTGTCTTGGTTTGTTTGGATTTATTGGACACCAGTATTTCAATGCTACACGTACAGACCTGCTGCAGCATTGCCTGCTCTCAAAAAAAACACACAAATTAGCAGACGCGTAAAGAAAACTTACAAAAAAAGAATAAAGCAGGGAAGAGTAGCCTCTACATTTAGCATGTTATTTATTCAGCTGATCGTCTTCAGGGCTCTCGTTGGCTTATGAACACAAGATGTGGTATCATTTGCATGAGGTCTTACATCATCTCAGAGTGCCCGTTCACTGTGGCATCAGCACGTGGTGCTTAGCCAACATGTCCCTTTGTGCTCGCAGAAGCCTCATTCAAGTGACAGCGGGGCACCAGAAAAGTCTTGAAAAGGACATCTGGCCGTGGAAGTCAAAGGGATGTCCTTTAGGGATTCTCGGACATGTCTTTACAGCCTTTTAAGCTCGTCCTCCGAGAGAGACAGATACTGTCCATAGGTGAAAGCAATATTTGCATGAGCTCTTGGACAAAGAGATGGGTGTGCAGCACACAAAACCACAGCATCTCCCCAAACATGCCAGTCAGCCTTTCATTAAGCACAGGGAGGAAAAAAGGAAAAAGGAGAAACAGCACTACTGTGACGAACAGATGGTCAAAATCACTGAGTTTTTTTATGTGCAAGTAACATGACCTCAGCACTCTGGGTTTCACAAGTATCCTGTAGCAAATGCACACACACACACACGCAAGCACAAAAGGACAAATGACAATTGTAGCCTACAGCTGAAAGATGTGAATGAAATCTCGACCTGCTGCGGTCCATTCAGAGCCAGAGAAGATTTCGTTTAGGGTCATAAAGATTATGTGATACAACAGCATCACCAGTGGGCAACACCCAGACTCACACATTCAGGCAGAGACGGGGTGTGTGGATGTTGGGGGGGGGAAACACTATCCCAGATCCATGCTTTTTATTGATTGGGGCTCTGGACTCCCAGCAGACCCCTTTTAATGGAGCCAGACGACCTCCTGGACGCTCATTGAAAGGCTGGTCCTCGTGTGGGTGCTTTTCTCCATCACAGCCTCGTTCTCACCCAATCCTCAGCGTTCTCCAAAGGGTGGGGATTGGGAGCAGACCCCCTGGGCCTACACTGTGGTCCTTCATAGATCACGCCATCATGCTCTCCTCCTCCTCCTGCTGGTGCTGTTTTTTTGTTGTTTTTTCCCCTTTTCTCTAACCACGTCGTTGGCTGGAGTGGGGGATGTTTTAATCCTGGCCTCATACCAGGAGTTGTCCTGTGAGTTCTCATCTGCAACACGTCCTTAGGGAACAAACCCCTTCCTGATTGGCACCCAGAGAGCGCGTCTAGACTATGATTACACATGTAAATACACCTGCCGTATCAGTGTGACAGAGTCTTATCACGACACAGATATTGTTTCTATTCTCAGACCTGTTGTTTGGATATTTGTGATTATATTATTGCTCTGTTCTACGTGTTATTAAAAGGCAGAAGGCATTCTCACTAGAGATGCAAAAATATTCATGCTGAAGAGTCACATGCCATGCTCAGCCTGTCACTTAAGACTGTTTATTTCATTACAGCTGCAGCCCAGTTGCAGTCTGGGAAAACACCATGAACGATGGAGAATAAGAAAACAGTACATTAATGGTTGGGGTTAAATGCAGAATAATCTCCACAGTGGGAAAACTATTAGACACATCAACAGACTTCACTGGAATTTTACCCATCAGCTGTTTCTTGTATTTTCAAGTGCTGAACCTGAACTTGCCATGAACCCACAGGCCAAAGATCTGAATTACAAATAAATTATTGTGGAGTGGAAATAAAGCAGAAGAGCAAACATCCCCATAGTTCGCTTTGTCATTCAGGTAGCCTTACGCAACACATCCTCACTGTACAGCCCATATATGCACAGATGGTAAGGACAGCCTGAGTTAGACTGACACTCTGAGGAAGCTGAAAACATGGACATCAGTTGCTGCTCAGCACTGTACCGCGATTCAGACACCAACAACTGACACAACTTAAACAGCAACGTAGAACTTTGCAATAAAATAATTATAAATCTAAACGGGTTCCCACTCATCTCATTGGCTTGTTTACTGTGGATATCTGTAAAAAAAAAAAAAAAATCTGCTTTCAGCCTCAATCGAATTAACTGAAGTTGCAGGTACTTTGCTGAACCTTGAGTGAAACATGAAACCTTCACAAAGGAGGGAGGAAACCGATCACGTGGGCTGTGATTTCAGTTTCAGGATAATGATTTGATTTCCTATCGCTGCAGTTGGGATCTTTGTGCTGCGCCGAGCTACAAGCGAGCCGTCGGCGTGGCTTCAGTCGAGGACATCTTGGGGAGTCGGCGCGGTTCTTTGTTCGCGGCGGCTCCGTGCTTTAAAAACAACACAAGGGGAAATGCTGTTCTCATGTTCCCCCCACTGCATAGGGTCTGCAACGCCTGTCTGACAACTCCCTCTCCTCACCCCCCAACAGACGCCCCCCCCCCACCCCCCGCGCCTCCTATATAGCCTACATAACATCCTCATGCGCAACGGCGCCGGAGACAACAGCGCGGTGACCTGCCGCAAAGCACGGCTACACCGAGGTGGGCGGACCCCCTCCCCCCCCAAAAAGAAAAGAAAAATGCCACCAACTCCTTAAATTCATCTCAGATGCCGCCGCTTTTTTCTAAAACCTCCTCATCATAAAGTTGACATCATCCGTTGAGCGCCATGTGCGCACTGTGCCCGCACCTTTTAATACGCAACTGTTTACATCCCGGCTGCCCGTCCTTACATAAGTGGCCAAACAAAAATGCGGCTCTCGGGCTACACTGCGGCTCCGGAGCCGTACCTTTCCGCTCATGTGATTGCAGTGCGGGGTTGTGAGGCAATGAGGAGCCGAGTCTCTTTCTTTCTGCTTTCTGCGTGGAACGCGAGCTGCCACATGTTCGTGAACCTGAGACTGAATGGTACAACGGGAGGGCGGCTCGTTTTGTCTCGGCGAGGAGGGGAAGCTGTGTAAACCAGACTGGGTGGAGCAAAGCATCGCCCAGCCCCATCTGTGTGCAGACGGCCTTGTGTCCCGTTTGCCCGGAGCTCGGAGAGAGACTACTGTACCGAGAGTCTGGCGGATAGAGAGAGAGGGGGCCGGTCTATGGGAGGGGCTAGCGCAAAGGGGGGAATCGAGAGGAGGAGGGGGCGAGGAGGAGGAGGCGGCACGGGTGCTGTTTCTCCAGTCTCTTTCCCCTGTCTTTGTCTCACACACTCTTTTGTTAGCCATGCCTAGCCTGCTGGTTCTAGCAGGGATCATGGAGAAAAATGGGGGCTACGGCAGGGATCTGGCCGGCTCCGGCTTCGGAAGCGAGGGTCTCCTTGTGCCGCCCGACGAGGAGGAAGACGACTCCCGTGCCCTCAGGGTCGCGCTGGGCCAGCTGTCTCTGCTGGGGCTCGGGGAAGGCGAGGACGGCGGCGGAGCCCCAACAACAGGAGTACAGGACCGGAGCAACAATAACAACAACCACCACAACCACACGAACAGCGGCGGGGACACGGCGATTCTGCAAGGCAAGAGCAAGTTGTGCGCCCTGTACGAGAGCTCCTCAAGTGAGACGAAAGGACGAGGCTGCAACATAACAGAATGCGTCCCAGTGCCCAGCTCTGAACATGTGGCCGAGATAGTGGGGAGACAAGGTAAACCGCTGGCTCGCGGGTCATTTTCCCTCCAAACTTGAGCTTTTATCAGACAGCAGTGCATGCGCCCCGCCGTGCGTCCCCGTGTGCTTTGTTGTTTGTTCTCCAACTGTTACCTGGTGTTATTTGACAAAGAAAAGGGAGTGGTGTGTCTGTGTGTGTGTGTGTGTGTGTGCGTGTGTGTTTTTTCCCTACTCCCCCGAGACATCAGCCAGCCTCCCACTTTTCCTGCTTATATTGTTACAAGTTCTCGTGCACTCATGATTAGAGTCGGAAACGAGGCGTTTCGCAGCTTTAGCCTCGTTTTTCTGGACTAAATTTGCACGAGAGGGAGAGAGCAGGAGAGAGACCCGTTCCCTCCCGGGCGAATTATTCTACATCCACGCCATCAATGTCAGCGCACAGACACACACTGGAGCAGGGAGAGCACTTGCTTCCTTTGTCGTCTGAGACGCGCCAGACTGTTCAAAAAGGCAACGTGCGCCTGGTGTACACAAGAATGTCTCTCGGCGCGAGCCGATGGCCAGGAAAATCAGCGAAATTACACATCTGGCCTCAAAAATCGAGTGGATGTTTTCCCCCCTCTTCCTTTCTAAATTTATTCTGCTCGTTGTTTATGTTGCGCACTGCCCCAGTGACACAATTGGACAATAGAGCGAAGCGTGGTCACCGTTTTTGTTTTTTGGGTTTTCTTTTTCCTCAGATGAGGGAGTTGGAAAGTTCAATTCCAGACACGTTGCAGGTTTTTTTTCTTACAGTTGGAGGTTTTTTCTTGAACAAAGAGCTGAAGTTGAATGACAGCAGCTGTCAAACAAAGGTGTGAGTCGGGGGATGAGGGGAGGGGCGCATTAACACAGTGTTGCTGCTTGGCACACGGGATCGTCTTAAAGGGGTGACTCAGCGAGAAGTTGCACCCGAAGGTGGGAATCCTTCTTTGTTTTTTGGAGGGGGAAAAAGCAGAATATTGATATTGTTTGTGGTTATTTGCAGTTGTGCGGTTGTTTGGTTGCATACATGCTTTTTTCATTGTGTAGTTGCAAACAAGCCTGAACTTAAGTTTAAAAAACAAAGGAAAAAAAGGAGGGACCCTGGTGTTCATATGGAGCACTCATTGGTAACTGCTGTGATGAACCCATGGGTGAGAGGGGCAGGGAGAAACAAGGAGTGGGGGGGTGGGGGTACGGCGTCTGAAAGCTGAATGGGAGTCACGCCTTGGAGCTCAACACAAGGGACTCCTCATGAGCCCCACTTCACTGCACACTCTCAATGCCACATGGTTGTCTGTCAGGATAGGGGAGAAATCAGGGGGTTGGATGGAGAGAGGAGCACAATGACTGCAGGGTGGGTGAGGTCCCATCAGCAAATCCCGATTTATCTGCCAACAAAAACAAACAGGAGTTGTGATAGCTCCTTTCACTGACACTCCCCTTTCTTGCTTCGCTGCTGTAGTAACGTGGCTTTAGTGTGTGCTGCTGAGCCCCCCCACATCTCCCATGTCGGCTCCCATTCTTTACCCTGAAGTGTAAGTTTTGAATTTTAATGGGCTAACCGAAGACAGACAGAGGGTGGATCCAGTGTGCACAAGTGCAGCAAGAGGGCCCTTTAGCCTAGACCAGGAAGAAGTGCTGATTTGGGGTGGGGGGAATTTGAGATGAGCTGCTTTTGATCTGGGCCCTTCGTTAGCTGGCACTACATACACATCCCCTTCCGCTCAGAGCCCGTCTGGTGAATCTGGCAAACGAAGCATCCTGTCTTGGAGAAAGGGGTGGGTATGATTGTTTTCTCCTGTCAGAGGCGCAGGCATTGATTCTCCACCTTACGCTGGAGCTCGTCAGATCACGGGTGGCTTTGTTTTGAATCACACTTCACTGCTAATGCAGCTGAAAATTACGTTTCTTCACAGCGACCTTAATTTCTGGGTGTGATGGCTTTTGCCTTCTTTGTTTACATACGTTTCTTTCATCGAGACATCAATTTCAGCTAATTAAAATTTAAAATCTAGTTTGAGAGAAAGAATTGTTCTTTGAGCCTTTCGTGCCAGGAGCAGGTCTGTTAGGCCAACGCCGGGCAATGACCGCAGAGTGCATGTTCAAATTTGGGGCATGAGGAATGTTATCACCACACTTCTGCGTGTACCAGCGGTTCCTGGGAAGCCAGTGCCCCTGAACAAAGTGGGTCAGTGTAGTAGCATTAGGGAGATACTCTGCTTCACCTTCAGGTGTCTTTAAACCTTTTGATACCTGCTGCTGTGCTATTCAGCTGGTTATGACACGCTGCGAGCTCTGAAGCACCTGGACTCTGTTACAGTGAGATCAGGGCGTTTTTTCTTTTTTAAATATGATGTTGTCCAGAGAGCCACAGTGACACAAGGAAAGCACATTTAATGTGTCAATAAAGGAAGAAATCTTAATGAGGAAGCTGGCAGAGTTTGAATACAAACCTGTGTGAGGTTAATGAGGTGTAATCCAAACAGAACTGCTGTGTCTTCTCTTACCATTGTCTTCTTGACCTCAGGTGTTCCTGGCAATCCTCCTAAATAATTACTGATTTATTATATGCCTGTATCCTCCTCTGTCCCATTACATTGTCAGGTGATTCGTCCTGAAATGACATTAACCTGCACTCTTTCACATTAAGAGTCTGCCTTAAAAGCATTTAACAGAGTAAACTATTCCACGCTGATCAGAAACAGGACCAATGCAGAGCAATAAGTGGCCCAAAAATGAAGCATATGTGGGTTGTCTGTATTGTCTGGAAACAAGTTCAAGGAGAGGTCAGAAAGTAATTGCTCACCAGTACAGTGAAAACACATGGCATCTGCCACAGCCGTGTCCACGCTGGCCGGTGCCTGCACCATGCGTCTTAGTAAGTTTTGTTGTAGTGCAAATAAAATGGCCCTCTCAATAAAGACACTAATGATTACACCCTTGAACTCTCATAAATCCTGGTAATTACTCAGCAAGACATTAGGTTAAAGTGGTCATAAGCAGCTCAAACATCAGAATTTTCACTGGACATAGCAGAGACGAGCATTTCTTTCAGCTCAGGCTGATCAAGTGTGTTCCTGGTTGTAACCCTTTTAACTTGATTTGTGTCCCCGAATTGAGCCGGCGTGTCTTTACTCATTTTAAAATGTATGTTGGTGTCTCTGCAGGTTGCAAGATCAAAGCCTTGCGGGCCAAGACCAACACCTACATCAAAACCCCCGTCAGAGGAGAGGAACCTGTGTTCTTAATCACTGGCCGCAAGGAGGACGTTGCTCTGGCCCGTCGTGAAATCATCTCTGCTGCAGAGCACTTCTCCATGCTGCGGGCGTCCCGCAACAAGCTGGGAGTGTCTTTTAGCGGCTCCCCGCCCACACCTTTGCCAGGTCAGACCACCATTCAGGTGAGAGTGCCATACCGTGTTGTCGGGCTGGTGGTGGGGCCTAAAGGCTCCACCATAAAACGCATCCAGCAGCAGACCTGCACTTACATTGTCACTCCGAGTCGAGACCGCGACCCGGTCTTTGAGATCACAGGCTCCCCGAGTAACGCCGAGCGGGCCCGCGAGGAGATCGAAGCACATATCGCCTTTCGAACGGGAGGCCTGCACGACCACAACAACGAGAATGACTGTCTGGGCCCGAATGGTGGAAGCAGCCCGGCGGGCAGCAGCGGTGGTCTGGAGAGCCGGCTACAGCAGGTGTGGGGGCTGCAGGGGGGCCAGCGCAAGCCACTCACCAGCAGCTACCGCCAAAACTTCTCAGATGCCATGGTTGGAGGAGGGGGAGGAGGTAGCGAGGGAGGGGGGATCTACAACAAAGGCAACTTCTCCAGCTCTGGAGAGAAGCCCTGCTCTTATTTTGGATCTGACGGTACCCAGAGCTGGGGTGACCCCGACTACCCCAAACAGGTGGCCTTCTACGCCCAGCAGCGCTCCAAAAGCTTCGGAGGCCTCCCGCTGCCCCTAACCAGACTCTCCCCTGGCTTACCCGAGTCCTGTGGAGGCGGAACCACCAACAACTCTTCAGTCACCAGCATTGTGCCCATATCCGGCTCACCTCACGCCCAGGCCCGCCGCGCCCACAGCGAGCCCACCTCAGCCGGCGAAGGCTTTCCAGGCCGTCTGCCAGTGCCGGACTCGCCGCCGGCCACTGTGCGGGACTGCATGACCTGCTTTGAGAGCAAAGTGACGGCTGCCTTGGTGCCCTGTGGCCACAACCTCTTCTGCATGGAGTGTGCCATCCGAATCTGTGAGCTCAACCACCCGGAGTGCCCAGTGTGCCACACCCAGGTCACACAGGCCATCCGGATATTCTCTTAAGGAACCATGTCAGTTTTTATCATTAGTTTTGTCAGTGTTTGTTCAATAATTATTTACTGTTATTATGATTATTATTATAATACACATTTTGGTTTTTCAGAAAATTTAAAAACAATCAAGCAGATATTTTAGAAGGCACTGCTTGCTTTACTAAAAAGTATAAGAAATATTTTTAAGTTTTTCTTTTATATATATATATGCATATATATTTTATAAAAGTTTTGTTTATAAGAGAAGTATAGTACCTTGCATTTTCAGTTTTTTGACTGCTGCTGTTTTTCATTCATGAATCACAGTGAAGGCAGAGGTAGACAGTAATGTGAACATTTTATTATTCAAATTTTTTATTTTACCGTGAAGTGGGTTTATATTGAAGGAGGAAGATGATTGTTGAGGTACCCAGTCTGCACCCGACTAACCCAGAAACTCACTGTTGTTATTAGAAGGAAAAAAAAAAAAGATTTCTCATTGCACCTTACAATCATCTTGGTCTAAAATAGGATTGTCAATCATACCTTGAAATTTCTGGAGCAGATGTGAAGGTGAATTCAGCCTCGAACTGTGATTGTGATTTGATATAATTGGTCCAAAATATTTTGGCAAAAATGAAAATGTGAATAGATTGGTTCTAGTCAAAAGAAACAAAAAGCAGACTTTTATTTTAGAGTCTTAGAAACCAGATAATCCTAAAAAAAAGGGATAGCTCGTTACATGATTTATTTATACTAATTGGTGGAATTTTATCGGCGTCATTAATCACAGAGATGGATGAAGGCTGTACAAAGTATCAGTAAAAGTCTCTTTCCAGTAGCCATTGATTAAACTTTGGCCACTGCAGTTTGTTGAAAAGATTCAGTAATGCTTGCTCCTCGTGGCACTTGAAAAGCATGTGGTTCCTTGGTTGGCTTAAAGCACTGATTTAATTTGTGAGGCGGAAAGCCTTGGAATTCATCCAGTTGGCTGCTTCTCGATATCCGTCTCCCCGATGGACTTGTCTCAAAGCCACCTTAACCGCGCTTTGTTTTGTGGTGGTCATTTGGCCGAACAATGTAGGACAAAACACGAGCTCCAGTCAACGAGCGTTTCACTGTAAATAAGGAAGAGAATTAGCATGTGGACAGAAGCCGAGTAAAAATTGTAAAAGTGTTCCCTTAATCAGCAGCACATTAAAATAGTTGACACTGTAAAATACAGAGTCCCGAGTCAGTAATCCCCACTCTTCGTGCCCTCCGCTAACAGCATTATGTGCGAGCTCTGAGGGGCCTGCTGTCTCCCCTGTAATTAGCAAAGCTGTACAGGAGCAGGTGTTTCATGACACACTGTGGCTGTGACCCCGAGTTCGAGGCCTCGCCTAGCCCCCTTTTCTTTCTCCCTTTTCTTTGGGAGTGGCTTTCATGTCTCCCCCTTTTTACAGTTCGATCGCTTGCTTTCGAAGGCGTCTCTCTGAGCGAGGTGTATTGTCTGGGCCCGGTAACAGCGTGGGCTGCAGAAAGCTCGGACACGGCCTGGAACCACTCATTCATAATTAGGCAAATGGGCTGGACAAGGTGCGGACCGTGTGGCAGGGTCCCGCGGCAAGCCCCTTACCACCCCACCCCGATGTTAGCCAGCACAGAGGGGGCTGGACGGTCCGCGTGCAGCTGGGTGAAGAGGGCCCCCCGTCTTCCACTCCCCCTTGCCCATTCCGCCCCCCTTTTCCTCTCCGTTTCTGCTGCTCCGAGCCATCCCCAGTGAGGAAAAGGGGGGACTCTTTTGTCCCAAAACACACACACACAAAATTTGAATGCTGAATCTGGCAGCGCCTGTGAAATAAGGGGAGGCTAAGGAGAGAAATAAAAAAAAAATCTACAGTTATCGGGAGACACGACAGTAACACGTTTTTACTGTTGATGTGACACAATTTGAAAATGTTCACCTGCAAAACACAGATTTTACCCCCCACCCTTGCCTTCATTATCCAGCTGCAGCTCCCTGAATTTTGGATGGGGTCCTGTTTGTGTGACGGCACCAGTCCAAATCGAAATTTCCACAAAGCTCCCCCGCCCCCTTTACCTCTGGGCTCCCTCCCCATGTCAGCTCGCTACTGTATGGGACATCCTGCAACTGCCCCTTCACTATGGACACCGAGATTTCAGCCCCCCTCCCCCCCTCACTTGTGTTAAGCTTCCAGAATGAAATCAGACAATTGTAATTGACAGAAAAGCAGAGGAAACGCCCCATTTAACTAGCACTCATGCTGAATCAAATTACACACCCTCTGCGTCTGCCTTAGCCCCAGCCTGGGGATTTCGGAGGGCTAGAGGAGAGCGGATGGGGGGTAGGGATTAAAGCTGTTGAATGATGGGGGTGGAGGGGTTTCATTTTGGTTGGAGAAGGAGAGAAGTAGGCTCCAAAAAACACGAGACCCTGCAGATCGTGCTGTTTTATTGATCGTTCGACTCTTTCAGCGAGCTGTTGTCACATGTGCGCCATGCGTGGTGACGACGGTGATTCAGCAGGCCTCTCTCAGATCGCACCGGAGAACAATTAAAACTCGGCTTCCGTCTCAAATAAAAAGAAAAACCCGATTAAAAATATCAAATTGTGTCTTCAGGCCACAGAAGGCCTTTCCTTTAAAAACAAACAAAGAACAACACACAAGGCAGACCACTCGCATGAGGTGTGGACTGCAGGGAAAGCACTGTACTCGGGGGAAACCCTGAAATCTGTCAGACGTAGGAACAAAGAATAGTTAGGATTTTATGGATGGACAAGTTGCACAGTGGTTTGGCCTAAGCTTTCAACGTCACATTCAAAGCAGTATGACACTGTTCTTTGAACTTCGTATTCTGTTTTTTAAAAATGTTTTATTTTCTGCCTTAATATTTTTTATGAAATATTGCCATTACTTTGGCGTACAAGGTAGCAACTTTGGCCTTTGATTAGGGGTGTAATAATTCTGAGAGTGCGATACAAACGAGTATCGCGTCGCAGCTCCATCTTCCCATACTGTGATGCCCACGTGGAGCTGATAACGCCTAGTTTCGTTTTTTGTGATCCAATGGTCACTAGCAAAAAGAAAAAAACCCATCCCCCTCCCCCCGTTTTTTGGCATCTGCCCTCGAACCGAACCGTGATTTTGGAGAATTGTTACACCCCTACATTTGATACTACTGCTACTCCCTAAAACAACCTTTAAAGTACTTATTTTTGGAGAAAAAAATAAGAATGTGAATCAAACTGCTTGGGTGGGGGATTAAAGGGATTCAGGAAATTAGGCTTTTTAAACACATTACATCAAATACAGAGTAAAGCACCTTATTACAAAACACACGCATCTGATTAATACCAAACCGACCGCTGATGGTGAAATATATTTCATAGAATCTGAAAGACATGCACATAAGGATTCCCTATCATTTTTGTTCATTGTGTTATGGTGGTTCTTGTTATTCTTAATACTACAGTAGTACTTAGTGGCAATTTGGGAGACCTCTCATCCATTCAGTCAATGCTGTTGACTTTTGTTTCGAGTTTTGCACTGGTTTAATGAAGAGAGGGCTTATTGGAGATTCTCCCAGTTTAGACGCTGTACAACTTAATGAGTACTTTTAAATGGGAAGGCGCTCTGAGCATCTATGTAAATACAGTATGTGTATCAGTTACAAACATCCAGACAAAAGCCTGCTTCGAGTGAGCTTTGGATTATTTTTTACAAAGTGTCGATGTTTTAGCGTAAGGAATTCAAAACGTTTGAGTTTAGGGAGAGTAAATCTTTTATATATGCGTCCCATCATCCCATTTACTATAATAGTATATTAGATAGATCCATACATACGTGTAAGAATATTATTTAAACTTAGTATTTCATCCAAATATATAGATGAAAAGTTAACCAGACACTACGTTATTATGAAGTCGCTGATGTATAAATCCAATCTCCAATAAAAACTCAAATGAATAGTATGTGTATTAAGCTAACCCCTAATGAAGAAAGAAATCTGTATGTATATTAGGACGAAAAGCAATAATAGGACTATACTGGGACAATAAACAAGAGGAGCCGGCTCAGTTCTTTAAAAAAAATAAAATAAAATTAGGATAATAACAGTATATTCTGTCTTATATTTGCTTCAATCTCCTTATAGATTAATGTCAGTGTAGAAACACAGGCGTGATGAATTGGTGACAGCTTCGGAATAAGTAATTGCTCTTGTTGTGTTCATCATCAGGGTCATTTGTTATTTGGATAATCAATCAATCCTCAGAAGCACTGAAAACTGTAGATTCTGCAACGTGGAGGAAATCTCACTGTGTGTAAAAATGACAAAAGCGTCCGGAGCACGAACAGCACGAGGTCTGACCTGTTAGTGAAAGAGCAGCAGCTGCTGGCTGAACTTGGGACAGGCTCGTGTGTGAGGGCTTTGGTCGCAAACAGAGCGAATGAACAAACGGCAGTGAGACGGGACACGCTGTCTACACGTTTAGATTTTTTACACTTGATGCTCTTTTTTAAAGTCTATACGGGGCAGGCGTAGAACTCACAGCATATCCTGAGATGACTTTTGTTTACATTGTAATAAGTTCTGGCTCTGTTTGTTTTGCACCGCCCGCTTTTCATTTGCATTATTTTTGAAAGGAAAAAAAAAAAAAGAGGGTCAGACATAGCCAAAGAACAAAAATACAAGGAGAGCTAACTTATCATTTAACTTATTTTAGAATAAGAGTTTACTAAATGAAGAATAATCTCTAGTTAGTTTACCCAAAAGCCCAATTAATCGATATCGGTGAAAACGAAGGCATATCGTGTTTCAGTGTCGTTGGATTAATACTACAGAGACACCACTAAGAGACTTACTTCTCCCCAAAGAGAGCAGCTTAAAGCACATCCTGGCACTTCCTCAGTCTTTTGTGTAGTTTTTCTATGAGTTTGGTTGTTGGGAAGAGGAAAAAAAAACCCAGTTCAGGGATTTTCTTAATCTTTCTGAAAAAAACTAAACAAAACTTTGCCAATCTTGTGACAAAAAGGTAAAAAAGAAAATTCAAGTAGATGGAAAGAATCGTGCGGACACTGACAAACCAGCAGAAATTCACAGCGTACGGGATTACGCGTTAGTTCAGAGAGCCATTCGCCGTATCCTGAAGTTTAACTGCATGCTAGTAAAAATATAGTACAATAGGTAAGATTTATCAGAAAGGAAAAGTTAAGATAAAGGATTCATCAGCCTGATACCTGGAGTGTATAAAAAGCTTTAAGACCTTAAAGTGAGCATTGGTTTAAAGTCGTATATTTACCGTGTAGTTTAACTAAGTGATACATAGTTTAATTATGATTCTTAAGATTATGCTAAAGTGTAAGTTTCATTTGTCCAGCTCACCCAGTATGAAAGACATTTTAGCCAAGCGGAGGTACAGAGGGGTGGGGGCGACTCCCGTGAGATTTGATTCATTAAGTTCTTGTTAGTATTATTTACAATATTGTATTAAGCTTACTATTATAGTAATGGTAGAAACTGTTGATGTTTTTCTTCTCTTGATATAAAAAGGTCTTTATGCATTTATGTAGAATCCCTTTTAAGGAGTGATAGGAAATCCTTATTTTCAATGGATGCACTTAAACAGTTGTACCAACCTGTCTAAATCACACATTGAGCAAGCAATGCATTTGAATGTAAACGAAAAAAAACAACAAAAAAAAGGAACAAAAAAACCTTAATGCACTCCTTATCTCTTAGTCAGTTTTGCAAGTGAGCTTTAAGTTTGTTTGTTTTTTGGACAGAATTTGCAACAGCTTTTTTTCAACGTAGACTATATTTGAGTTCTTCCACATACATTTATAGAAAGTAACTTAAAATGAATAAAAAAACATATTACAGTTTCTCAAATCTATTTTGCTAACATGGGTTATTATTTCATAGAAAGCAGAGGAAAAAAGTCAGTATCTGGATGTTATTTATGAAAAGTAAAAAAAAAAAAAAATGAAGCAACATATTTATGAGTAACCTCAAGACATTTTGTTTTTTAATTAAAATTACAAGAAGTTAATATATTTCTAAACACAGGGAAGTCAGTTTCTACTAATAAGTAAAAATGAGAAAAGATGTTTAGAAGTTTTATTTATGAAAGTTACGGGAATGCGTTTCGTCCGTTTACTTCGTGGTGAATGACGTGAATGGAGCGAGAGTTCTCCGTAGCTTAAATTTTAACTTCAGACATGCACTATTTCAACACCAGTGCATTCACAATGGAATAATTACAGAAAATAATATAATATTTTTTAGAATTTGGAGATATTTTAGTCACAGAGCATCAATTTTGTGCCTCAATTCTATATTTTTCCTGCATCAGCATTCTTTGTGTGGTGCTGCTTGCTGTAACCCCCTTCTCCCCTCTTCAACTAACCCCATGTTACTGACTGAAACACATTACTCATTTCCTCTGTAATCTAAACTCGCTTTTACTTATCAAATGTTTAAAAAAAAAACAAAAAAAAAAAAAAAAAAAAAACACGTTACAACTGCAGCGCTTGGGATGAATGAGCAGCTGTGACCCTCTCGCCAATAGGGCCACACACAACTTGTACACACTTTCATTCATACTTTTTCTACATCTGCTACTCAGACAGTTTGAGATCAACGACGAAGGAGCAAAGCTTTCTCTTATGGGTTAACTAGGTGAAGTTCAAGTGGCAGCATCTAGGAGGGGACAACAGTGCACTGTGTAGTAGATCTATGTAACTAGATGCACACATATACACACACACACACACACACACACACACAACAGATTCATTACCGTGCTAGTTTGCATGTATGTTGTATGGTCACTTAGATGGGAGAAATGGTGCAGGCCTGACTAACACTTGGGCCATTTCTCCTCTGTAGATTTTCATAGTTGGAGCCTCTTTGGAAAGTGGAAAGTTGACTTGAGTTTGGAGCCAGACAAAGTCCATTTCAGTCCCCACGTCAACGTTCCGGGTTCCCCGTTTAGTGATGAAAGATTGCTTGTGACACGCAGGAATTAACTCAAAGTTCTTGGTTTGTAAAAGACACGATAGTTTTAAAAACTTGGCAAAAATGATGCACGTTTTCTGCTGCATGTAGAGGTCGGGGACTGAAGTGGCGCTCGCTGGTGAAACTCGCAACCGTTTCCAGAGAGGCCGATGCAGTCTGACAGTTTGTCTTTGGTAGCGTTTCCAATTTTTCCAGCACAGTAGAAGTGTTTCATACCGGTCTAATAGTGGTTGTAGTGCATTAGTTTTTGGGCCAGCATCAGCTGGCAATAGTTTCTGGTTTCTCTGTGAACAGTGAAGGAGGGCTGCCACTGCGGCCCTCTGTGGCTGACCGTCAACTTTGATGGATGGGAAAAAAAATAAATAAAAAATAATAATAAAGAAGTCTTTGAACTCTGTTACAGTGTGCCATGCCCTACAAGGCATGTGATATTGCAGGTTTATTTCTTATAGCACATGTTTTTTTGTGAATTACATTTTTTGGAGACATTTTTATTATTATAATTATTATTATTATTGTATCTGCGCCATGTTAGTTCTGGTTCTTTGTTATTTTTTCAAGATTCAAGATGTATTGTAAATGTTTCTAATAAAACAAAAATGAAATGACCTCCAATCGATACCAGTCGTTTTTTCCCCCCTTTGAAACGGGAGTTCTCAATTGTCACATTTTAATTTCAGCGATCAGAGGAACGTGTCATTCTAGAGCACTGTGCAAATGTCGTATTAAATTAGAGCGTACATTAAGGATTAGGTTACTAAAATATAGCCCTGTTAATGTATCTGCACAAAGCAATCACACAGTAGCTAAAATCATAATAATGTATACTTTATTGATCCCTGTGGGGAAATTTCTCTCTGCATTTAACCCAGTCACTCTGAAGCAGTGGGCAGCCATTGGGTGCCCGGGGAGCAGTGTGTGGGGACGGTACCTTGCTCAGGGGTACCTCAGGGTAGCTGTTCGGTGGATTCGAACCCCTGACCTTCTGATTCATGGGGCCACCACTCTACCTACAGAGCTATCCCGGCCTACATGACTCACTCAATGAATTCTGCCTTTCTGTCAATAAAGAAGCCAGCTGCTTCAACCTGTCCGTGTTTAACAAAATCCCGAGAAGACACGAGAAGACAAAGGCTATAAGAAATGAGATTTATTTATACATATGCAGTCCAAATATACATATTAGAATAAATGTTTTAAAAGCCCTAACCTAACACCACCCAGTTTAAGACCTGTGAATTCAACAGAAGTCTGTGTTGATGTGGAAACACATCAGCAGGATAAACACCATCTGTGTCCATAACCTTTGGATTTAATCAAGCCCCTCCAAACGCTACCGTCCTTTCTCCCTTTTCTCATCTATTAAACTATTAGATACTAACAAACCCAATCCTGACTCCCGATACAACCCCCCGCCCCACCCTTCCACAGGAAATAAAGACGAGTGAAAGTGAGGGCAGACCTCGGGGAGATCCCAGAAGGCAGAGTCCTGTTCCAGTTACATACAGTGTACAGGGAGAGATGGAAAGGAGTAGGTGAGCAGGCAGTGGAGGATTTCATTTACAGTAAAACAAGCCATCTCGGGTACATCAGAGACCAAGGGAGCAGGGCAGGGCTGAGTGCCCTCACTACCTCATCCCCTGAAATATTATCCAGCCATCTATCCTAGCTAGCAGGCAGCGGTAGCACAGGGCTGTCCGTGCATTTAAAACCAATTCCTTGATCTCTCCCTCTCCACGGGTTCAGGGCAGGGGTGAAATGGTCACGGGCAGAGCCAGTGCCGTGTGAGGAAGTTAACCCGTCCACTAGCGACGCAGCTATCCCATCTCATTTAGAGTTAACGCTTAGCAAAGCTTGGAGCATGACTCATCTGTGGAGTACAAAGTGTGCACAGAGCAGGAAAGCCTTCCAAACAAAGATCAAAAGCAATCAAAAAAGAAATTGCATGTCAGTGTTGGGAAGGGATGTTATTGCTCTGAGAGGCCTGGTGGAACACAACCAAATTCCAGCGTGTGCACTTAGGAAAAACGGCCTGAGCCCCTTGCCCCTACATCAGTGAGGGAGCATTACCCTTAAACATACGCAAATAGGATTGTAGGCAAAAGCATTAAAAAAACAAAACATATATAAAACGAGCGAGCTCCCCTTGCTATGAAGAAATCAGAGTGAAAACTATAAACCAACTAAACCCTTTGGCCAAACAAGACATCAATCTAGTGTTCAATAAATATTAGAAGGGGACATTCTTTTCGGAAGAATCTACATTTTGCAAAAATGGGAAGGACAGTGGTTGCAATTCAGTCTCTTGGAAGAGGATTTTTACAGCCCAATATCCCGCTAGAGTGAAACTGAAAGGAACCATTTACTAGCTTGTAAAATAGAGCTTTCAAAGGAAGGACACGAAAGGAACCTTAATAAATTTTTTTTCTTAGATTGCAAATCAATTCTGATCATGTGCGTCTTTAATGAACAGTGCAAGTCACCCGTTTTCTTTCCATCGACACCAATCCTCCCTCAGAAAACGTCCCGCTTGCTTATTTAAACTTCACCATCCCCTCCTCTTCACTGTATCAAACAGACAAATCAGACCCAAGTGTCCTCGTGTGACTCTCTCTACCTGTCTCCATTTTCCCTGTCCATCTGCCTGTCTTTCCTATCTGGCTGTTTCCCCCATTTGCCTGGAGGTGAAGGAGGAGGAGGTCAGCGGGAAAGTCTCAGTTAGACTGGCAGCAAGCGCCCTTGTTGGATGAGTTTTGGGTGGGCTCAACGGTGATGGGCACTACGTTGGAGGCTGGTGAGAAGTCTGAGTCGCTGCGTCCTGACATCTGCCTCTGTGACACGATGTTGTAGATGGCTGTGATGGGAGAGAGAGAGCGAGAGGGAGTAAGTTACGTGTAGATGCCTATAAATCCAGCCAACAGTGGGACATATTGTGATAAGGACAAGCAGCATGGCAAACTGAACAACAACTGCTCTATCCAGACTCCTGGCAGCACTGACGGATTCTTTCCATCCTAAACTGGCATCGTTATGTCATGTGGCAGAATCAAGTCTCAATTTAGGCATTCCCCAAAGCTGCAAGATGCAATACATTTTATATTAAAATTGCAAGAACTGTGATCTGCTCCTCTGATCCTGCATGCTCATGCTGAGAAGCAGAGAATGCAACCAAGTTTCACAGGCGATACACAAGAAGCGTTCCAACACACAGCGAGCATCGGTTCTTCTCCTCATCCATCTGCTTCTACTACACTTCAAAACAGGGCTGTGAGAGTAATCAGATTTTAATTTCAGTTACTAACTTTATGTGTTTAAGTTAACAGATAATTGATTCAGATTTTTTTTGTCTGCGTGGGTTCTCTCCAGGTTTCCATCTTCCCTCCCACAGTCCGAAGACATGCAGGTAGTGGGGTTAGGTTAAGAGGTGAATCTAATTTGTTCATAAGTGTGAATGTGAGTGTGAATGGTTGCCAGTCTTCCTGTGTTAGCCCTGTGACAGACTGGTAACTTGTCCAGAGTGCGCCCCACCTCTCGCCTCACGGCTGGGATAGGCTCTAGGCCTCCCAGCGACTCTGAATCGGATAAGGGGAAGATGATGGATGAATAGTTTAAACTAGAAATGTTTTGGGGGGGCAGGTTTCCTAAAGAGCAGTAACAAATCTTTATAGCAGTTCATTTATCCTTTTAAAGGCTCAAGTGGTTTAGTGGTCACCTCATCTTCCTGGTTTTAAACCTTCCTACCACCCAGACCCTTTCTTTGTTGCGTTTATTTGTTCTTCTTGTAGCTAATGTGTATGTTAGCTAGGGTAATCGGCCACAGGTGTGGATGTGGGTGTGAGTGGTTTTCTTGTCACTGCATGAGTGTGAAGGACTAGTGAACTGTCTTTCACCCCGTGACAGCTGGGTTAGGCCGTTTTCATGCTTGTCTCGTGATGATTTTCACGTCATATCCTGTGTTGTGAGGCACAATCTTTGTGGCGCGCCTCTACAATGGTGCAGGTTTTTACCATGATTTTAATGATACTCCTGCAGAGAAGCTCAGAGACACACTGACACACAGAGGGAGATTTTGCAACTCTTTGGAAACCTGAGTTTGTAAAAAGAACTTTGCAAAAAAACATTGTCCTCTTTATCAGCGTGTGTGATGCGATACTGTCTGAGACGCGACGCCTATCGTTTAGGAGGGAGCGGCTTCTTGTGCCTTAACGTGGGTACACATGGCTGAATCTTTGTGACGATGGCACAGCAACGAGTGAAGTGACCACTGCAGAGGGTATATTGGCACCTTTAGGCTCCAGGGCCAAAAACCTAAATAAGCCGTTAAGAAAAGGCCTCATTTTGGTGTGTCCTTCCTAAACGCTCACTTTGTTCATCGTGAACCAATATGATGGAAGGGAATGTTTGGACAAAAAGATCCTTCTTAAAGAAGTTAATGTTGTTTGGCTGAGTGGTCTTTCAGTCTGGTTTCCGTATGTGAAGCTATGGAGAGATCATTAATGGTTGCAGCTTTCTTTGTCTGATTATCGAGGGTTTTTAATGTGGTCCACTTTCACCAGTGTGGAACTCAGGTGTTGGTCGGCTGCTGGCTCTCCCCATGTGCGCGGATCATGGAGGCAGAGGACCAGAAGGGAGTGGGCCTTGCAAGTTTGGATCCAACTTCCTACAGGATTCACCTCCCATTTTTCCCCCCCATACATTTGAATTAAAGTATACACAGGCTATATAATAGGCTCTACATAGTTTGTTAGCACGTGGGCCTCTTGTCCCATTGGTACCCACAGATATCTCTCTACAGAGGCTGCAAGGGAACAGTGAGTGCTCTTACAACACGGGCTTAGTCAAAACTTACTCCCTACCAGATAACCCCCATATCACGTCCCCCTCATTTTCATTTCCAAGGAAAACTCGTGCAAAAAGTCCCATGCTTTTAAAGTTCAATGAATGTAAGACATTTGTTTAATTTATGAATCACTGTGTTGAATAATCACAATAACAATTATTGACCAAAAGCATCATAGTTATGGTTTCTGAACACAATCAATCAAGCCTACGTGAAAATATTTCAACCAAACATTGACTTGGATGTCACTGGAGTGGTCAGGACTTGTGCAAACACCTCTGGCTTGCTGTTGCATACTCCCTCTTTAACTAAACTGCACCCAGATGTGGAACAAAATGGTCCTGAAATAAAAACTGCCTATGAAGCAAGAACATTTAAAGCAAAGCAAGGCTCGGCGCTCTGATGTGACGTGTCAGGTGGCAAAAACACAACTGATTACTACGAACCATACACAGCCCCAGCTGCAGTGCATATACACATGATGACCCAAGAACTATCCTCTGCTACATGAGCGATGACTTCTTTGCTCCAGTGGGTCTAAACTTCAGTTCTTACTAGCTTGCTGATGCACGGTTACTCTTCTCTCTTAATGAGCCAGTTACCAATGTTACCTAAATGGGGCTTGTTGGTTTGAAGTTTACGTGAACTAGAAATTACTGATAAAGCGGAAGAAAGGCTCAAACTGCCTGAGCAGAGTAAGAATACAAACTGGAAGAGGCGCATACGTGCAGGCTGATAGCCCTTGGGGCAATTCAAGTGGAAGCACCAC